TACCACTCTTGAGCCTTGAAACCGGTTGTGTGGGGAGATATTGCTCAATTTCAGCTGCGAAAATTTGGGGAAAAATGTATGTTCATGGAGCTTTTTGATCTTCCATTGCTTGGAGGAGTTTTAGGGTAACATCTAGCCTTGGTTGTGAGTATATTTCCATCCCATTTACATGGTTTGATTGTAGTTTATTTTCATGAACCCTAAACCTTGATTTGTTGATCTGTGATGTTAGAGAGCTCAATTGGGAAAAGTTTGTACATGAAAGTGTCTTGGAATAATGTGTATTAGTGATAAATGCAATGAAAATTTTTGGTTAAAAATATGGATTTTGTAACTTAGAGAAATTTGAGGTGTCATGACTTTGAAAATTGGAAATGTGTTGGGATTAGATTAATGAGTTGTTGGATAATTATATGTTGATATAATGGTATTGTAGGAGGTGTGGAATGATTAAAATTGAGTGAGCATTCTTTAGAAACCCCTAGTGTGCAATTCGGCCATAGGGTTTGTTTTTGGAGTTTGATGTTGTTTGTGTTGATTGGATAATATATCAAGTGTTGAATGATATTAAAATGGGTTGTGTGGTGGTTTGAAAGTGGTGGAATCCATGAAAAATAATAAGTTGTATTTATGGACATAAAAGAACCTAGAGGGAATGATTTAGCAAAACGATGCTTAAATGACGTAAAACGGAAAAACGACACTTGAATTGGCCTCTGTGCAACCTAGGGACGTGTAATAAAATGAGAAAGAAAATTTAGAAAAATAAAGTTGAAAAATGGCCTTGCTTGGCCGAACCTTCCAATGGGAGGGGAGGTGATTTTGTGTTTTCGCACTCTAATGGAAATTGGCGTATACTGATAACTGCATGTGGTTGTATAGGTTGCCGTACGTCGACTTGAATCCCGAACCGTGAATCGGAAGAGTGTCCTTGGTCCTGGACCAAGTGAGTTGAGGTAAGTGGACGAATCAATGCAAGTATAATGTAAATTTCATGAGTTTATATGAATTTTGAGTAATTAAGGAATGTCCTCTGTGTAGGCATTCTGTTGAGTAACAAGTTTGGAAAATAAGCTGCTGTGGAGTTAGTGAAGAGGCATACTAAGGTAACCTCTTGATACTGGAGCTTGTTCCCCTTTTCTGTTCTACCATACCCGTTGAGGGTAATGGTAGGAAGTGTATATGAGTAGTGTAGAACAGCATGAGCATGCATGCATTATTACAGTGGGTACTATGTACCGAGTCTCTGGCCAGTAGACAGTTAGCCTTCGGGCACTTTCGAACTTCCGCTGGATAGGTCTCCGAGAGGGAGTTCCAGTTGACCTAGGGTCGTGGTGTGTCATCCGAGTAGGAGCACACTAGGAATGTCTCGAGTGTATATGGATGGAAGGGGTACCTTGGTTGTGGTTCTTGGAACACACCTTGGATGATACCCGTAGGCTTATATGCCGAGGACGTTGCGTGGTATTGGTAGCTACCATTCCAGCTTCGTCGTATTTTATATCCCGATATTCCCTAGTTTCTCTAAATCCCTTGCTATATCCCGTTTTGAAAGTTATTGTTTTATATTACTTATATGCATCGAAGTAAACCATTGGGCGGAGTTTTCTCCAGAACCTCTGGGTTACTGAGATATATTCGTATATCTCACGCCGTCTTGGGGCATTTATTTCAGGAGGTAGCAGTGGCACAGGAGTGGCGAGCAAGAGGCCCGTAGGATGAGTCATGGGAGCATTGTCATTATTTGTTCATGATATATATATTTTGCCTAAGTCTAGTTAGTTATGATGTCATTCGATGTTATGTTTAAAGTTGTAAATTCAAGTTCATATTTCAAGTTGTAAATTCAAGTTAAGAATATGTACGTTGTTATATTTAAATGAGATGTTGCAAGTATGCCTGAATATTGATGTAATATGATGGAAGGGCTTTGGGCCTATGTTAGAATTATGATTATATGCTTATCTTGAGAAATTGCATGTAAATGGACTTGGTGATTGAAATGAGTTAAGGAATTATAAAGTGAGCCATACAATATGAATTGTGTAATAACTAAAAACTGAGTTGGGTTGTAAGTGCCCCAAGGCATTGTTGGTCCTTGTGTGTGCCACCCATTGGATTATTAGGTACATTTGAGGTGTTAGTGATCATTTGCAATTTGGGGATTTTAAGAAAAACAAAGGAAACTCGGGCGAATTTTCTGTAGAATTGACAAATTTTAGACGAACTTCGGGAGAGCATATCTCCCTCCACAGAGGTCCGATAGGGACGTGCCATATGCCATTTTAAATCTTGAGATGTACCCTACATGGTGTTAAAATATGAGCAAATTCCGGGTTGCACGCAGCCCTGTATGATTAAAAGAACACGGACTGTCCAGAACCCCCTTATGCAGGGGCTGTTTCTGGCAGTTTTTGGGAAATTAATTCTCGCTTCGTTTCTCAGTCAAATTAAGCGTATGATATATCAAATCGAAGCTTGATGTGTCTAGTTTGTAGCATAAAAATTTGAGAGCAATTGGGTGAGAGGATTTGCTGCAGTAATTCGTGGAGTGAGAGGTGTTTTGAGCTGTTTTGGGTTGGTTGGCTGTTTTGCTTGTCCAACTTCAAACGGCGATAACCGGAGCAAACGAGCTCCGATTAAAGTGTGTGATAGCTTATTAGAAAGGGAATTAAGTAAGACAAAAATATAATTTGAAAGAAAGGTCTGGTTGTGAGCGGTGTGTTCGCAGAAAATTAATTAGTGAACCATGTTCGAAAAGGTAAAAACGTAAAGTTGAGAAATTGGCTAAGTAGGTTTATGGGAACCCCTTAATAACTTATAATAAGTAAAGTAAGATGTAAAAGTAGTTAAAATAAGTATTCCGCAAGAGTTTACAGTTACGGTCACAACTTTTAATTATTACGCTTTTTATTTTTTAAATGCTCGCGTAATAATCAGAAAAAGTTTATTCGCATTTTTATAAATGAACTGTTGTGATTGTAACTGCACTTAATATCATAAATAAATGTTAACAATACCGGTGTACAACGGGCTGTTACAGTAGACATATACAATGAACTTTTACACCATTATCAAAGAGTGTCTTATATTGAACATACAGAAACAAAAAAATTAAAAAAAAAAAAAAAAGAAGCACTTGAACATGAGATCCAATGAAAGATATGGTGTTGTAAATTTAGCACTATGCCAAAGAACTATGGGATATTATTGAGCTCTATACTGTAACTAGGGGAAAAAAACTTCAAAGAAGACCTCAACCAACATTTGAAATTTTACTTCTGATAGAAAGTGGATGATGTTGAACCATAGGTTTTGAAGATTAATACATTGAAGTTTTGATGATTACAAAGCACCAACTACCTCAACATAGGAGCACAGTATAAAAGGAAGTGCAACAAGTCTCCAATAAAGTTAGAAGAGTGAGGCAACATCCAAAAGTGAAAAAATATCTCAAAGGCGCAAAGTGGACACCAAGGTAAAAGATTTCAAGCCAAACAAGGAATTAGAAGTCTCAAGACTCGAAGATCATTGAAGACAACTACAATTTTTGTAAAGTCAGGTCGAAGTCTTAGGAAGTTGAGAATGAGTTTATATTGAGCTTTAACTTGAAGGTTGCACTTATGAACCATAAACTCATGCATAAGTGACATATATACTATAATCATGCATACAAGATCACACACACATGGAGAGTTGTTATATAAGTGTGAGACGTGATCATACATATGTTAAAAGTCACTAGGAACCATTTAGAAGTCACTATAACTTGGAAGCATTTAAATTCGAAAGACCAACATGAAAATTTTCATTTGTGCTGAAGTAATCGAATACTTTCTGGGTTAAAGAAGTAATCAAATATTTCATGAACAGTAATCGAATGCTTTCTGGGTTCGAAGAAGTAATCGATTTACTTCCCGAAAAGTAATCGATTACTCCATTTTTTGGGTTACTTAAACTTCAAGTTATCCATAAAATTGGCCATAAACCGACTTGTAACACATTAGACTTCTATAAATACATGTCTTAGGGTTTTCTAAATAAGGGATTAACAAAGAGAACGTAAGAAAAACACCAGATTACTGAAAAACAAGGATTAACCCTCACATAGGCTACTATTGCATATCTTGAGAGAGAAAGCTCAATATCTTCTTCTTTTCTTCATCTTTTTATGTGATTTCTTTTAATTCTAGACGTAAGGAGGTTTCCCTACATGTTCTGGACAATTTGAGTTGTTATGTTTGGTTTTTGTACGAGTGGAGTGAGGCTAAAGGAGTTTGGGTTAACCGTGATCTAGAGAGATCGCAGGTCTTGAAAAATTCCTCTTGTAAATCAGTTTTTCAAGCACCGGTTGAAAGGTTGAAGATAGTGGAATGATCTACGGCAATCTGGATATAGCACTCAAGTGGTTGGAGAGTGAACCAGGATAAATCTTGGTGTTCTTGTCTCTTTTCCCTATCCTTTTAATTCCGCTACATATAATTTCTTTTGATTCATTGTTTATGATGTTTTGAATCTGTTTAAAGGGTTGGGGAATGTTTCTTGATTGATTAATTTCGTTCTTGCATGTGTTCTTGAAAAGGGTTTCAAGATTTCATTGTTTTTGTCTTGTCTTTCTCATCGATTTCATTATTACTGCTATATCTCTGATCTTGCATGTTATTTGATATGTTTTTAAATCTGTTTTTATGATGGGAAATGTTTAGAATCTTGTTCTAACTTGTTCTTGGTTGATTTTTTGAAAAAAAGGTTTTGTTTTATTTGTTACTTGTGGAAAAAGCTAAAACCTTGTTATTGTTTAGCCATTCTTTCTTTCCATATGATCAGTTAAAAAAAAAATCGTAACATTGAAGATCCCTACATTATCATGTTCATACTCAGAAGGACCTAATACAAGAACAGAGCACATTGTCTATCACAAAATGAGAGCAATTCACCAGAACTACTGGATTAAGCATGGATAGCTTAAATCTTTTAAAAAATGAACTCTAACTCGTTACCTGGTGTGCCAACTCCAATTGTGTCACCGAGGGAAATTTCAAAGCAGCCCATATCATACAGTTCTTTAGCCACATATGCCACTTTTGACGGAGGGATTGGTCCTTCCACTGGGCATCCAACAATGCATGATACATACCTATGAAATTTCAATACAGAGAAACTGATTAGAATAAGCAGAACAGAAACAGAAATTCTGTGCCAATAAAGTTTACAATATCAACACAAATGAGACTTTTACGTGTCTAACTGTTGGACATTGACCTGGTTGCCTTCTAAAAAACTAACAAGGGTCTTCACCAATACCAAGATTTAACTTAGTTTCAAAAAATAATTTTGAAACAGCAATACAAATATAGACGTTAAAACTGATTTTTAGAGATATTTCATAGAACCTAGGATCTTATGGGATAACAATAGGAATAATGGTTAGGAGGCAAAGAAATGTCCAAATGGAAACATTGCCATCAATTAATGTTTAACTCTTGCATTTGCACTCTGCGAGTCTGGAGTAGTAGTAAAGTTGTTTCTTGTCACATGTTAAAATCCAGAAAACAGCCACTTCGCAAAAATATGCAAGGGTAAAACTGCGTAAAGATTTCCCTCAACCTTATTCTCACAAGCCTAGGTATTGTGAAGAGTGGTTTTTTGCTTTCAATTGTTAAGAGAGACAAGAAACAAGATTAAAATAAACACAAATAAACAGTTGAGTGAATTATAGAATGCGAAAACAATTTATAATATTCTGTTCGCCTTATTTGAGTAAAGTAGTAAACTATGTTGTTTTCTATTGGCCATCATTTTAATTTATAATGGATTTCTAATCATTAAATAAATAAAAATCTTATCTACTTTCTACCCTTTTCTCCACCAGAAGTTTATCTTTTTGTGAATTATAAAAATTACTTAATACATGGCACGTATAAAAATTAATTTCAATATGAATTAGTTTATTTCATATATATTGACTAGTTTAGTATATAAATTTATCACATCTGATAAATTTGAAATGTTTAGGTTAAAATTTGTGTAATTGAGTTCTTCTCTTTTAAATATTTTCCTCTGCTTGAACATCTATCCTAGTTCTCTCATTGGTTTGTATAAAGAACCACTTCAACCCAAAACCTTTAGGTGTTAGGTGAGGGCCTTTTTAATGATTTATATTATTCTCTAACACACCCCCTCACACAAGAGCCCTTTGGGCTTGAAGTGTGGATATTGCACAAGCCCGATTTTTGGTTTACCTTCTTTTGTGCTTTTTATTTAATTTCACAAGTGGGAGGCGGTGAGGATCGAACTCGTGACCTCATGGTTACTGAAGCTCTGATACCATGTAAAGAACCACTTCAATCCAAAACCTTAAGGTGTTAAGTGAGGACCTTTTTAATGATTTATATTATTCAACCCAAACCCCTCACGCAAGAGCCATTTGGGCTTGAAGCGTGGATTATTGTATAGGACCAATTTTTGGTTTACATATGCTTATTTAATTCCACAAGTGGAGGGCGGTGAGGATCGAACTCGTGACCTCATGGTCACTGAAAGGCCCTCACCCAACACGTTAAGGTTTTGGGTTAAAGTGGTTCTTTACAGTTTGAAAAGGACTAGAATGTAATGGAGAAGGGAATATACAAAATTGATGACATACTGTTTTCTTTGCCAGTAAGGACCAGGGACCTCAAATGTAGTAACTGTTAAAGATATAAAACCATTCCTAGGTCTCCTCTTAACACCTTAAGCTCAAGTTCAAACCTTGCAGCCCCATTCCTAATCATGAAATTAAAATTTCAGTAGAAGGTAAAATGGGTTTGTACATTATCCGTGCTACATGTCCAAATTAGAATCAGGAAAAGCTGCATATGAAAATGTAAAAACTGCTAAATACAAAAATAGATGCCCCAGAACCAATCATGTAGAAAATTCATCAATGTTAGATAACTTGTTCAATTACTTTAAAGAGGTACTACCCAAAAACAAAGAAGAAATTGCAAGGCAATAAATGCAAATCCTTCAGAAAATATCAACATGAAAAACAAATTTTTTTGGAATTTTCTGTCTGGCATAAATGCACACTTAAATATATCGAAGTGGAGAGTATTTGATGGATGCTTAGAATAATGAAACAGAAAACAAAAGGCATACCCTCGAACAGGAATTGACAACTCCTTAGCAGCACGAATAACAGCACGATAGCGGGCAAGACTATCTTCAATACTACAATTAATGTTTGATTTTGAGAACGATTCAGAAGCTGATGCAAAAACAGCTACTTCTCTAGCACCAGCTGCTATAGCAGCTTCAAAACCCTATATATGTAACAGATCAGACATCTGAATGTAAATCAGCCCCTTTATAGTCGTTCTAGATATTTGCATTTTGCACCTTTAGATTAGGAGTCAGAACTGGCAATCTGATGCCTCCCAAGTTATGAACTGCTTGCATTACATCCTTTGCATCAGCCAACTGAAAGATAAAGAAACAGAATGACATCCAAGCGGGTAAAAACTCAAATCGCACTGGTAATGAAAAGAAAGGAAAACACGTAGTCCTCTTGTAGGCATCATATCTTTAAAAATGGACAGACAGACAGAAATTGTGCACCAAATGGATAATATGTTTTTATTGAGTGAGTCTGGAGGAAAAAAAAGGGGGGGAAATATCATATTCCTTTGTTTCAAGCACAAATAGAGTGTGAGAGGAATTATTTTGGAAGAAAATTCATTAGTTCAGTTATAGTATAGAAAATGATTTTTGACTTAATTTTTTTTTTTTTATAATTTACATGGGATTGAGAACGGAGATCATGTACATGCTTCTTGTAGAAATTTGACCACAACAATCATTCATACTATCAAAATCAAATTAAATAAATATGGTAAAGCCATTATACCTGTGGGACCCATTTGGGAGATACAAAACTAGTAGCCTCAATAACAGATAACCCAGAAGATGCTAGTCTATGAATCAATTCAATCTTTACAGCTGTTGGTACAATGTTCTTCTCATTTTGTAATCCATCCCTTGGCCCAACTTCAACTATCTTTACAAACTTTGGTATACCTTTCATAAACTGCATTGCCCAGTTAAAAATTGTTAGTATGTTACTACCAGGCAAAGAAATATGATAAAATCAACCAACTACTGAAAGTTCAAAATTTATAACAAATGTAAAATGGACTTACAAAAAGAGGAACCACATAAATAACTAATCTAGTAGCTGGAAAAAAATATCCTTGAACAGAAAGTAGTTTAGCCATTGCATTACCTTATATGTCATATCATGCATATCTTTGTTATTGCACTTAGGACTATACTGGTAATCTGAGGAGTAAAATGAATTATCAATCATTCCAAACTTCATCGAGTTCCTCCCTGTGGTCATAGTCTTTCGACTGAAAGAGTCACCTTGGGAGGCTTCCCTTGTTTGCCTATTCCACGGGAATGTCTCTGCAGTGTACTCTTCATTTTCTTCACTGCACCAAAGATAGGCAGATAATAGGTTAAAAAAAATATATGATAGAAGTGAATGGAATGTCAAAGACGGAAAAAGGAGGTTGAATGATAAATAAATAAAATGCATGTGTTGACTTGTACAAAATTGCAACATTTGACTCACTTGCAGCTGTTAGATGTGCTGCAACTTCGTCCTTCAATCCAGCAGTTTCCCATACCCAAATTATCTACTCTGGGACGGCAAGCACCAGATGAGAACCTCTGAATTTTATCAATGGTACACATGCTTGGCAACTTGTCAAATCCAATTGGCTCCTCCAAACTAGACATGGTGAAGTGGATGGGAAAAAGGGAACTGGCAAAGATGTTGAGAGTAAGTACAGTGAGTCAGGAACTTATTTAACATTCTTGTTACCATTTTCACCAGTTTGCAAGGAGATTTACATATTTTCATCTGCATATTATGAGTCTATTCTGTTCATGTTCATACAGTGAAATGTAATGACAAGTAATACTTCTCTGGTTTAATGCTTAATGCATAAGCAGATGCTATCAGTTAAAATTGCAAGATAAATTTGTTCTCTTTATCAGATCCATTTACAAATGCTATATCATATTAAAAAATAATGAAATTAATTGGTGATGTAAGTAGAATTCAATAGATAAAGAAAGGAAACAGAGACATAGTAAGCTGGAGTTGACTGAGGCTATGCTTGTTTGAGTAAGCGGGAAACAAAGAGGGGAGTGAAAATGTAGTAGAATAGAAAGGGCTTTGATTTTCACTGCTTGTTGCTTGGTAAATGGGAAATCACTTTCAACTCACTTACATTCTATAGGAGGGCCAGATTTGTCATGAGTTGCACTCAACTTTCAGCTTTCCCAAATATTTATTGTAACAAGGATGAAGTAATTTTCATTCCAAATTTTCCACCTTATTATTTTCTGCTTACTCAAACTAAGGATAGCCTTAGTGACAAAAGGTATTCACAAATGAAACCCATATCCATCTCTTTAAAATGAGACTTGAGCATGGGGTTTTTCAAGACATAACTCCCTTTCAACCGTGACCATGGATTCAAAGAGTAATGTTTCAACAAATGCAATGGTGCCACTGCCAGACATGAGAACTCCTAACCTTTCAAATTTCACGGTATAAGAATTATATATCTAGAGACTATCCACAATTTGCTTCACAAGTGAATTATATACACAGAAAGATATACGAATATAAGTTCCTTATAAAAATGGTAACCAATTCATAATGCAAACTCCTTTTAATAAATATAAAAACGAAAATCCTACTAAAAAATGTTTATCAAACATTTACAAATTAACAGCCAAATGTTACTGTACCCTCACGACAAACAAAAAAACCTTAAATATAGAAACAAGTAACACAGCTGAAAGTCCCGCCAAGGAATTCCTTTAAAACCACAACCTCGGATAAGTGAGAGTTATTAACGCCTGTAACAACCTTATCATGTGCAAATGCAAGATCAAACAGAGACAAATGTTGTACTGTACCACAGAGACAAATAAGAAAACATTTAATAAATCATTGGCATTATCTTCTTTAGACTATAAAATTACAATATTCTGTTGGTTTCTTAAAATTGCAATCGATACCCTTTTGAAAATGTATTCAATTCCTCATCCAGCTAATCACAATTGACTCCCAAGTGTGATAGCAGTTAGTAACCAACCAACAAAAGCAGGTAAAACTGTTGAAGGTTGAACACTTGAACTTAAACCCAGTTCAATAAAAATAAAAAATAATCACATAAACAACAAGCGAATTGAATTGCTCAAGAAACAATCAAGAACCCACAATTAAAAGCAATCAAGCATATTCAATCCCTAGAATATTTTTTGAATCCTTTTGTTCACCAAATTCCTTTGAGTTTAGAGGAAAATAGAGAATTGGAACAAGCAGGCAAACCTGAAACCTAGAAAAATTGGAAGAAAGACTTGGAGGGAAGGCAACAAGGTAGGGTTTCGAAGACACCCTAGAAATTGGGGGAAATCGGATTTCGTGATATTTACGAAAATACCAAAAGATTCAATATAAGGAAGAAGAAGAAAAGGAATGTGGAGGAGGAAACGTTACGAAGTTGTTTATTAGAGGAATTTGGTATGAGTATGGATCAAGAACAAGAATGAGGTCAATATTTATTTCCATTTTTTTATTATTAATAATTTTTTTTTTTAAATAAAATAAAGAAAGAAAGATCTGAATGGTTGCTTGCGTGATTGAGACAGACGCAACAGAATGAATGAGAAAGAAAGGGGGTGGCGGGAAGTTTACGAATTGGGTGTTGTTAAGAGTCGTTTTCTTCCATTTAATTTTATTTGTATTCTGTACTATATCAAAAGCCATTTCCTTTTCTGTGTTTGGTAATATATCAATGCCATTTACTATTCGTGGTTGGTAGCAATGTCTTTTTCATAGAAAATTTGAGTCTCCTGAGTTGATTCACTAGTTCAGTTTGATCATTGTAGGATATTACAATCAAGATCATTTTTTCATTCCCAAAACTTGAATAGGAGACCACCAATTAAGGAACACAAACTTCTCACCACTTGTGCCTGTTATGGACCCGTATAAAGGGCCAATAGAATGACAGGCTCAATAAAGGGCAATCCAAGATTCAAATCAAGTATAACTATATATAGTATCTATCAAGGATATTAATTCTAATACGACAGCAGAGCAGACAAGCCTGAGCCCTCATCAGAGGCACTAAAGGCCCACATCATATTACCCACAGGTAACCTTTATAAATAAAAGGTAAACCCTAAAGGTACATTATGTTCTCTCTCTTACTGCTATGCTGTCACTGTGCGCATACACACTCCATTGGCAAACGCCGTTATTAGTTCGTTGTGCACAGTGATCTGCTTGACTCAGGGGTATCTCTTTCATAGATACCTTGGAGAGGGCACTAGATCCAAGATTAACATACCAGTCCATTGGGTTGGACATCTTTGTCTCCAAGACAGAACATTGGCGCCATCTGTGGGAAATTCTTCTTTGAATTTGAAGTTCCGACCATTCTGACTGAAAGATGACAGTTCGTACAAGGAGTAATAGCCAACAGCCACCTCAGAATCAGCCGATGGATCCAGTCTTGGAAGAGGTGAATCAACCTCAAAACCAGCCTGAGAATGAAATAGATTACAATCATGTTCATGTCAGTGAGGATGTGTCAGACACAGCCTCCACCCCAGCACCCCGTGACCGAGTTGCGGCTCCAATTCTGAATGCTCAACATCCTGGGGGTATCGCTTTTGCTCGTGTGGCCCAACCTGCGGATCCTGATTCCAGGCTTGCTCAAAATGCAATCGCTTCAATTTTACGGCAAATGGAGGAGATGGAGAATCGTAACAACCTCCAATGGCAAGATTTCCAAAGAATGCAGGAAGAAAATACCAGGAGAATGAAGGGTCTAGAGCAGTGCTTAATGGGGATGACAGGGTCTGGCGCCAGAAAGGCCCCAGGCCGAGATACTAATAGCCGAGAAGGGATCCACGATCCGGATCATGCAAACCGGGTACCCATGTAGAAAACCAAGGGAGGCCTAATCTTGGGAGCATACTGGACCCGAATCCGGAGAACATTGGAAGGGGTGATTGTAATGCTATTGTGCAAACTTTGACCCATAATGCTTCACCAGGAGCAAATGGCCTGAGAAACCGGGATGGTACACATCCTGATCAAAATGTTAATTAATTAAGAATTTAGGAATTTAATTAATCAACTATGTGATTAATGAGATAATTCTATAATTGACCATAATAATTATGAGAAGACAAATAATTATGGTAAGTGATTAATAATGTTGAAAGTCGCTTTTCTGACGAAAAGTGCAGATACTGATTCTGTCTCACGGTATAAATGCGTACCGATGAAGTATCGCACAAAATTATGAAAAATGTGTATATATTACTAGAATAATATATAGAACTTGTATAACAAGTTTGGAGTCAAAATAATGAGAACTAGTGCCAGAACTGATATTGTCTATGTAAAAGCGCGTACCGAAAAAGTACTGCGAAAAATAAAATAAAAATATGACAAATCTTAGAAAAATGACTAGGTTCAGAATTCTAAGTTTGGGATTAAATTGCTAAGCGTAGCTATTTGTGCTAATACAATGCGATTAAAACTTAAGTAGCTATATATAGATAATGACACATGATCCTACCTACGTGAGTCTTTTGCTGAAGCTTCAGACCAACCACCCTTGCCACCCCTTCCTCTCCACTTTGTGAGCCAAGAGACCATTTTTTCTCTTGGTTTCTTCACCAAATCTCCTTGTGTGAGTGTGCTTTGGGCTTGAGAGAGTATAAGGTGCTTCCTTTTTTGAGTTTGGTCTCAGTTTGGTGGGGTTCTTGAGGCTGAGTTTTGAGTTTGGGTTGAGAGGTACCTTGTCTTGATGTTTTGAGCTTCAAGGAGCAATCTTTGTGAAGAAAGAACCTTGCTTGAGTGTCAGTTTGGTTGTTGAACCTTGATCATGAGTTTTAGTTGTTTAAAGGTTGAGTCTTGGCATGTTAATGAGTTAGATAGGTAATCAACCGGAACATGAACCTAAAAGTGAATAAAAATGCATGCTTGGACGTCCTAATGGGTTAAAAGTTGAACCTTGGGAGTGATATCTCGCGAAATGCAGAAACTGCATTCTGTCGCAAAATATCTGGATATGGGGTTGGAAATATCCGGATATGGCCCCGACATATATCAGTTATTCTGGTAATTTCGAGACAGTAAATGTACTGTTCATACAGATTGATATTTTGGGTTTGTAGACCCATGATTGGTTAATGTGGACTTCTGTAATATTTAATCTAAGTCAGAATCTAAGTGGTTAAAGGCTTATGGCTTTGTGAGAAGCCTAAAGACATGAAACGTAAAAGGTGTTAGTATATGGATGTCCTAGAGACAATCTTTTGATTAAATTAGGACATATGTGGACCTTTTATTTTGTCATAAATAAATATAAGCACTCTTTATCCTGTTTCATATTTTGTCTCGATATTATTAATATTATATGAGTAACTGGATAAACCCCTTGGAATAGAATAGGTATCGCTTGAGTATCTGTGATGAGATCACGATCATGAGGATTCAAGGATACCAGATGTTTATTCCTAATTTTATGTTCCTAGTCTAGAGACACTGAGAATGGGGATCAATAATCTCAGGTAAGACTAGCACGACTTATCTACTTGTATTCAGATACAAGGTAAAGACCTTATGAGCTATAGATATGGAGATGTTTTACCTAAAGTCGTGGGTGGACCTATAAGGGTATAGCTCGCACTGAACAGACCCACAAAGAGACTCTATGAGGAAATCTCACAAATAGTATCATTAGAGCAGTCTCTTAATATTTGGGTATGTCTTTTCTTAGACCAGAAGTTTTCACCTAGATTGTGTTCTGGAAGGCATGCTTTAATTGTATACCTCGTATGCCTGAAACATGGAGACTCATAGGTATACTTTTAGGGATGTCCTGAAAGAACACAGACCTAGGGTGATAAGCTGAAGGAATTCGTCAAATCTCTGTGAGGGATTAAGTTATCTGTAAACCGGAGAAATCGGGATGACATTTACAGGACTCGAGAATCTATGCATAGTAAAAGAGATCATGAGATGATCTACCTTTAGACTTAGTAAATTGAAGATTCCCTATTTCGAATTAAAGCTTACCCTAAACCGCAAGGGTTGATACATTTCCTCACCCTAGGTTTAAAGGGAAGGTAACCGAGACGAAAGGAAATACATACGGTAACCAAATATATGTAATAGGATGATCATGTCATTAACCTAACTAGCTCTGGGGCAACAAAGCATTGCTAGTGCTCTATGTTGTCATTAAATGGGTTGTGGGCTTGTTGGGCCCAAGCCCATTTATGTCAGTTGTAACACCCCTGAAAGAAAATGGCATTGAAGGCCGTAGGCATGTGAGGATAAAAACAAAATTTTCAAAGCGGAATTACACATACCATATCAAGAAACATGCTTTAGGACATGAATGTTACCTTGTTTGCTTTCCAAAACTTGAAGATGATCAAGGTGAGGCTTGAAGATACAAGCCCTCTAATGTTGATCCACACCACCCTTTGTCAAGACGAAAGAACTCTTCTTCAAGGCCACCAACGAACACCAAGGGAGGCAAGCTAGGCGTCCCTAATGGAGAGGTAGAAGGCAAGGTTTCAAGGTGTTTAGTTGAGTGAATTTTCAGCAAGAAAAACACAAAAGTGGCGCATGAAATTCACTTAGAAAGTGCTAGGTAATTTTCAAAACTCTCTTAAGAAAAACATCACAAAAGAATGACCAAAGGAGATGAGAGAATGAGTGACTAAAAATCTGATTTCTTCACTCTAAAATCAGCCCTATGTAGCGCACATTAGGAGAGGATTGAGTGGAGTTGTTGCAAATCAAATCTTGCCAACAACCTCCTATCATATCCTCATGATATCAAGTGCATATCTCAACAAAAATTTGACTTAACAACCATCATATGACCAGCCATATGGTGCACTCCATTCAGCCTCAAAACAGTCCAGATACGTTGAGCAGTTGCATTCAAACTTGAACCAACTCACTCACTTATTCTCTCAACAAACCAAATCTGATTGGAGTTCATTTGGTTGATCCTATGACCATCACAAGACCCCAAAATCAGCGCCCCAAATCAGCCTTGGATGATGCTCAAAGATCTCCTCTTGATACTTGGGATTTGTTCCAACAAGATCTTACCTTATCCTTTTGTTATGAACAACTTTTCATAGCCAATTCAAATTCAAATTCAAACATTTAAATTCAAACGTTCAAACATTTAAATTCTAAGTTCAAATTCTAAATTTAAATTCTAAAATCAAAATTCAAAATTCAAATTCAAAATTCAAATTTCAAAATTCAAAATTCAAAATTCAAATTTCAAAATTCAAATTCAAAATTCAAATTTCAAAATTCAAAATTCAATATTTAAATATTTGATAATTAATTTAACTAATTAAATTAATTAGTAATGTCTCGGACCATCCAAGCCAATTACATGATCCATGCGCCCTTTTCCCTTTTGGTGGGCTTCCAAACTTTTTCTTG